TGGAGGCCGGCGCCATCGAGGGCGACGAAGGGCCCGGGGATGACGGCAGCTCGGCGGGCTCCGGCGCGGGTCCCGGCACGGTGCTGTCGCTGGGCGCCTGCTGCCTGGCGCTGCTGCAGATATTTCGCTCTAAGAAGTTCCCGTCCGACAAGCTGGAGCGGCTGTACCAGCGTTACTTCTTCCGCCTGAACCAGAGCAGCCTCACCATGCTGATGGCCGTGCTGGTGCTCGTGTGCCTCGTCATGTTGGCCTTCCACGCGGCGCGGCCACCGCTCCAGTTGCCCTACCTTTCCGTGCTGGCGGCCGCCGTGGGCGTGATCCTCGTGATGGCCGTGCTCTGCAACCGCGCCGCCTTCCACCAGGACCACATGGGCCTGGCCTGCTATGCGCTTATTGCGGTGGTGCTGGCCGTCCAGGTGGTGGGCCTGCTGCTGCCCCAGCCGCGCAGCGCCTCGGAGGGCATCTGGTGGACCGTGTTCTTCATCTACACCATCTATACGCTGCTGCCGGTGCGCATGAGGGCCGCGGTACTCAGCGGGGTGCTCCTGTCTGCTATCCACTTGGGGATTGCCCTGCACACCAACGCCCAGGACCAGTTCCTGCTCAAGCAGGTAGGAGCCCACCTGGCCACAGGGACTGGATTGTGGGGCCTGCAGGCCAAAGACAGACATTCCACCTTCCCCCTTTTAAAGTGGTGAAAAGGGGCAGAGAGACATGGCTGTGTCATCTGTGTGGTGTCTGTGAGCCATTTAACCCGCTCTCAGCCCCAGCATTTTCGTTTACTAAAGGAGTGCCTTCGTATTATATGTAATGTCCCTGGCCCCACAGAAACACGCACTAAACCATAGCCATTATTGTAGGGAAGGATTTGGAGAAGTCCCCTTCTCTTCCTGTACTTCTGTCCCTGTATATGTATAAAAGCCCAAGACACAAGTGGCTGGACCCTATCGCAGATTCTCCCTCTCTAGTGCCACTGCTGGTTTGTTAATGGAGTCCTGGATCTTTATTGGGTCTCCACTGGGGAGAGGAGACCCAGGGCACCCCATGCCCAGTCTTAAGGAAGAGAATTGATAACCTTGCCAGTTGTCTGAGGCTGGGGCTGAGAAGTTGTTTCATTTATGAAAGTGTCCCAAGCCAATAAGCTGCCACCAGCAAAGGTAGGAAGGACCTTCTCACTGAGATGTGTGTGATGGCAGTCCCCCTCCTTGCCTGAGCAGAAAGCTAATGTTGGACATTGTGACCCCTTCCTGGTGGTGCTGCTGGTTCTTGCTTGTGGTGGGGCTTTTTATCCCTGCTGGGATTGGCTGGGCGAGCCTAGAACAGTGGGCTCAGGAAGAAATAACACTTTGTTAACTGGTGATTCTACTGAAGGGTTTTGGGAGAGGGGTGTACTTGCCATCCTGCCCTCAGGGTGAGACCAGCCCCTCTAACGTGCACACCTTTTCCCTTTAAGAGTCCCCTTGTCTATGGCTCTGTGGACCTCATCCATTGACCCCTGCTGAGCCAGCTGATTTGCATGTAGCTGAACTGGGAGAGTCAAGTGGGCCCTCATTGCAAGCTAGTCTCTTGACCACAGACCCTACTGCAACCCTCTGAGGGTGTTTGCCTCCTCTATAGAACCTCTCAACTCTATTCCATTGTCATTGCCTTCCTCGGTCTCCCACCTCTGATGCTTTTCTCAGACTTTGATCCTGTTGAGGAGGATCTCTTTTTTGAGGGGCTCTCCTGTGCCCCCTGACTCTCATACAGGGAATAGCACCTGTATACAGTTTAGTGCGCTGGGCTCTATCTGTACCTTCAGAGTGCTCTATGACTGGGAAGGAGGGGTCTTGCAACCTCTCTGGGCCCCAGGTTCCTTTATTAGAGAATGAGAGGACCGTGTATGCCCCTCACAGTTTACCCTCCTCTGTCCCAAGCCTCACCTCCTGCAAGGAGCCCTCTCCTTCCACGGCAGCCATACTGGCCTCTTCCTCTTCTGCATGGTAACAATGGAGTCAGAGCCACAGAGTGGAGCACTTACTATTCTCCAGGGTTCATTGGTTTTATTCCTCATTCAATTTAAGCCCCTTGGACTCAAGAATCCTGAATTATACTTGTTTTTCCTCCAATACCCTCTCTTGTCTGGCACGGTGCAGGGTACTTAGGAGGGATTTAATAACTGTTGCCAATTTGGTTGGGTTCCCATAAGTGGAGTAGGTGGGGTTGTTAATGCTAAGTTAAAGTTTTTCTTATCTGGGATCAGAAGAAAAACTTTAGACATCAGCTTTGAACTTGAGAGAAACCTATTGAGAGATGATGGTTAAAAAAAAAGTTAGCTACCATTGTTAGTGCTTTAAAGCCTTCAACTCTTTTGACCCGAAGACCTGCACTGTCACATAGATGTTGTATCTTTGGGGGTTGTTTCTGACTTGGGTAGGTGTAGCTTTTCTTCAGGGGGAAGGGCATGCATCCACACAGAGCAGTAGAGATTTCCAGGGTCGGTCAGAGTATTTTCTAAACCAGACTTGGAGGCAGGGTCTGATTACAGCCGTAGTAATCCTGCATGTCTGATTTCGGGAGATTGGAGTCAGATCCCAGGAAAAGAGTCCTGAACCTTGGGTGCTCCAGCTCCATCTTAGCGTGAAAATGCCATTGCAGCAACAGAGTGTCTGTCTGACTTCTCCTTTTAGTTCCTTAGGCAAATTTCTCTCTTCTCCCCACCTCTACCAGCCCCACCCTTGGCTTCTTTTACCCACTGTGGTCTTTAGACCTTTACTTGAGTGTAGGCTTTTGGGTGGATTTACACTTGACTTCTCAAGATCTCCTATGAGTACAGCAGAGCTTGTTAGGAATGGTCCCCCATAGGGGAATGCAAACTGTTTCATTTTGGCTTCAGAGAAAACTGTGTCCTTTTGTTTGTATTTAATTTACCTTTCTGATTATGTCTGATATAAAATTTGTATTTCTTGAGCAATGGTGGGAAAATATAAGTGGGACGGTCCAGCATTAACATCTGTCTGCCTTACCCCAGAGCGGCAGGCCTTTGGCTTGGGTTAGATGCCTTATTCTTTCCTTTGATAAGGACACAGGTCCAGGGAAATGGGCAGCAGTGTTGTGGGCATGTAGTAGACTCTCAGGAAACTATTGCCATTTCTTCACTTCTTGTCCTGTGAGGCTGGCCCTCTCTGACCTGAGTACTTTACTCTTCTCCAGCCCCTGTTATGTTTAGAGCTCTGCCTTTTGTTCCAACTAGGAGGAGAAACATTTGGTTTCTTAACAGGTGCCGTCTGATGGTTTTTACTTAAGAAAGAATGGAGAGGCAAGGTGGGGCGCTGTCTTCTTTGGAAGATGATGGTTTTTCTTCCTTTCCTGGCATCTCTGGCTCTGGCTCTTCCCCTGGTATCCGCCCCCCTCCCTTTCTGCTCTTTCTCTCTTACTTCCTTTCTCTCCCCTCCCCATTCACTCCCCTGTTGCTCTCTGCCCACCTCTCATCTCCCCTGCTTGCCTGCCTGCTCTTCTCCGTCTCTTACTCCCCATCTGCAGCCTCTCAACCTCTCCTTCTGTGCTCGTCTCACTGTTGTCTCTCTGGTGGGGTACAGTAAGAGCGTCACAGGGTTGTTTTTTTCTCCTTCTTTGCGTGTTACAAGTCCCTCTGCTACACCCATACCATAAATAACACTCGAGCATCTGCCAAACACATTCCTCACTTGTGTTAATAGGCTTCGATGATGCCGGAGCCTGTTGTCATGGCAACCTCATTTTTGTTTGACTGTATCCCACTCTGCCACATAAAGCCTCTGCATGCACTCACACACAAACAAGAACGCTCACACAACTATCACATATGCTTAGCTATTAAAGATTATTTTGGAGAAAAATCATTAGGCCTGGTGAGGGCAGGTGGTCATTTGGCCAAGGAGATGAGCGTTCTCCACTGTCCAGGGTTATTTTAGGAGGTAATAATGGATGGAAGAGCTCTTTGAAAAGTAGAAAGTTCTGTTCAATGTGGAGTATTATTATTCTATAGCCACATTAAACCTGCCTGATGTAGTTTCTGAGGAGCAGATTCTGACCCCCTATGGGTCCCTGTGAGCTTGGGAGAGCTGTTAGAGGTTGTCCTGGAGAGCTATTAGAGGTTGCCCTGGAGAGCCCTCCACCCAGCCTACCTGCAGCTCCTTCCTCTCTTCCCCTAACCCTTTTGGAGAAACTCAGTGATTTTCTGCATTTTATCCTTTATGCCTGTTTGAACCCATAACTGTCACCAGTTGTTCCAGATATCAGAAAGGCATAGGCACTGTGTGGGTGATGTCAGTGACTGTGAGCACGTGTGAGTGTCTGTAGGGAGGAGGTTGGGGATGGATGGAGGTGGAGCTGACTACTGTGGCTGCCAAGGGGTGGGTACGTGTGTGCATGAGTTCGTGTGTCTCTGGCGTGGGCTGGCCACAGTGTGTGCGTATTAAGAGACGTGTGTGTGTGTGTGTGTGGGGGTGGGTGGTGTGGGCTGGCCCGTGGGTGTGTGTGCATGCATATGTGTGTGCGTATCTGTCTGTTCCATGGCTGGGTCGGGTGATGGAGGCAGGCCCGGGGAAGCCTTTGTGTTGACTTTGAAAGGAGATCATTGCAGCTCTGTCCTGTTTATTCTTGGCTGGTGGCTGGCTTCCTGCGACCATTTGCTTTTCTGATTCTAGGCCTTGATCACCCTTCTGACCTTGACCTCTGACTTCTTAGGGAAGTACCTTGGATGCATATCCCCCCTTCCATAATGAAGCTGGGGCCTAGATTTAAGTGGTTAGCTCCCCTGACCCCATGGAGTACCCACCCTTCCCTTTCAAAAACCCTTTCTGTTACTCACTCGCTCAGCTGCCCAGTGAGCCCCACTGAAGAGCCGCCTCCTCTCTCTGGAACGTGGCCCAGAGGCCTGCTTGGTGGGTCACTGTGGCTGCCCCATGTGTGCTGCTGGCAGCCACTGCCTCCCTGACTGCCTGGGTGTGTGGAGGACACACTTCCACTGCAACCACCGGGAACTGGGAATTGCCTGCCACCAATTACTTCCCCCAGTGCCCGCAATTCTGGACGGGAGAAACCTGGCCTTTGTGAACTCCAGCAGCACAGCAGGCTGGATGGGGGTTGGTGCTGCTTTAGGAGCTGAGGAGGGTCTGCTTGTCTTCCCTCAAGGCTAATTGTATTTGCCAATTATTTTTGCTAATTGTTTTCGATTATGTTGCCTCCTGTATGGGTGGGAAGGGGGTGTCTGGAGGGGAGCAGAAGCCTCTGGGGGTGGGGGTGGAGCAGGGCTTCTAGATGGGAGGGTCATTTTCTAGATCCTAGGGGTGCCTCTGTTCTTGTGGGGAAGACTTCAGAATGGCAGAGACCCCGCGAGGAGCAGAACGATCAGCTGCTGTATTTGCAAAATGTTCACTGTTAATAATTCAATGTAAGTTTTTATCTGAAGCAAGAGCAGGAGGTCTGTGTTCTGTGGGACATGGAACAGTGTGCTCATGTTCCTGTACAGAGAGGACACAGACGATGTCTTAAACTTCATCCCGGAAACCTGCCCAGCCTCACAGAAGAGTTTTAAAAATTAGCTTAACAGGCCTGGACAGCAGCTTTCCTGCGCAGAGGGACCCTGGCC